TCGAACAAGTTGAATCTGAAAAATAATATAGAAAGAAGTGAATGAAAATTGACCACTAATAAAGATTGCCAAATATATGGTCTGCACAATCTTATCGGAAAAGAGTCGCCTAAATTTAGCCACATAATTCAATATTCATCTTATTAATCAACGTAAATCCCAATATAAAATGCTTATTCTTATCTGACTTGCTTTAAATTTAAACCACAATTTGATCTTTTGTCTCAACTCTCAATTATCCACATACAGTAACCAAAAATAAAACGATTTTTGTTTCCTTAATTAATTATACTTAATTTGCATTGCATCAACGTTACTGCATACACGTCTCTGTATAACTCTGTAAGATGAGGTGGCATGTATTATTTTATTTTTGATTACTTTGACCAAAACAGGTCTATGAATATTCATATTTTCTTCCAAGCAAACTAATTAATATAATTAAATTAAATTTTATTATTATCTAAGAAATAAAATCTTTTTCGACATAATATTCTGAGATCTGCAGGTTCAAGTCCAGAAATATGTTGCCTGCTTATAAGTTAGAAATCTAATTTCTATACGGTTTATGGATCTTTAATGTTGGGGATTGGTTAAACCACTTTGGTTTTGAATTACCCATTTTAAGTGTAGAGGAATGATTTACCAAGTTGATTAAGAGATTTCTAGTTTTTAACCACATCAAACACAAGTGCAAAAAGTAAAAGACACAACCATATACATGGTTAAGCTAAATCCACTTTTAGCCTACACCCATGGGACCTTATTCATATCAAAGCAATCCACTAAGTTAAAAACACATTACAAGATATAGTTCAAAGCTCATTTAAGTTACAGTAAAAAGAATTTCATGTTCAACTTTATACTTAGCACCACACTCTGAATCCTTAACGTGTAGCAACTCCTTGGAGCTTCCTCTTGCCGGGAACACACTCGAAAATAGCTTATAAACCATCAAGCTTCAAGCACCGATGCCACGCACCAGCATTAGCAAAGGAACCACATTCTAAGAGTCATCAAGTCTTTGTTTGATATGGTGAGGTTTTGGCATAAAATGGAAAATGAATCTTGAACCTTAAGAGAAAGAATATTTTAAGAAAATTTGAAGTAAAATGAAATAAAAGATCAAAAGGTTATATTCATTTACACAAGAAAGAGTATTATATAATGAAAGTTTTCTTACTCAACAAAACAGTGCCATGTCAACCAACAAGGAGTTGACCTATGTTTGTCCAAATAAGGAAAATATTCTTTCTTTTGGTTTAGACTACAAAACAAATTGGGAAAGATAACTTTATTCCCTATAATCACTTAAGGAAAATATGGCACATGTAAAAATGTCATAAATATCAAGAGACAAAGATAAACATAATAATATTTTTCTCTTTATCAAACATACAACTCGTGTTGGGTTACAAAAAGTCTGAAGCGAGAGTGTAAGCACAGACTATTGTACACACACACTCGAGACGAAACAAGTCAAGACACATGTCTGGCAAACTATGTGCACTAAGAATTGATGTGCACATACACAATAGATGAGACAAGCCAAATAAAAGGATTGACAGCAAGTGTATACACATAACTGTTATGCATACATACACAATTGATAAGTTCGATAAAAATAAATATTCTACATTTAATATAATATTGGAGTTCATATATTTTCATTTGAAAGCACATCGCACACAATGCATTGCATGTGATATTCCGATTCAATTGGAAGCCATGACTTACTACAAATTCCAAACTTAGTCATTATTTATTGGTGAAAACATGATTTTGTGCTTCACCAGTTCATGCTACCCAACAAGGATTATCTCCATCTACTTCACAATTAAGTAAGATATTTTTGTCCAATTCTTAACAAACGACAATATAATGTGACATATTATGAAAGATAAATTCTATCCAATCTTTTTTTTTTTTTTTTCTTATCGTAGCTTTGATAAACTTGTGTTATTTTTATCTATCGATTATATATATCACAATTCACATCCACCACTTGAAACATTGTAATTATTTCTGATGCTAATAAACAAGAATTTTTTTATATATACTTCTTTTTATGATAATTTTTATATGGAATCTTAAATTTTCTTGATCTTATACGTACTCATACAAGTCTGGAAGGATTATTATAACTAATTAAACATCCATCACATTAGATATGACATTTAAGATCGGTATTGAGAGTGAAATTATTATAACTAATTAAAGAGATCATCATATGCTCCTCTAATACGTACACTTTTCAATGAGTTATGCTTGGGGACTAAATTGTACTTGGGGAGGCAAATAATAACTAGATTAAATTATATTGAAATGGAGTCAATTAACTAGAATTTTATTTATAATACGACCAGGATTGGCTCCATTGATGCCACTGTGTTAGGTGATGAGTTGCAATACTGATGCCATTGTCGGATCCTTTGAGCTTATCTATTTATTCAATTATAATTTTGTAAGTCTACCTCATCTAAGCCTAAAAATATCTCCACCAAACAATATGAAATAAAAAAACAATTGTAGAATCTGAAGTCTCCATGCCATTGACGAAGCAAATTGTGAATAAAGTATAAGTTAAATAAATACCTGACATGTATACATTCCTTCAATATATTAAACTTCACTTAGTTGGATCACTTCACTTTTCAGCGCATTTCAAGCTTGGATTTGTCTCCCAATGTAAACCATAAAGCAAGCTTGTTATTTTTTGTGCATGTGGTTTTGATCTGCGTACACCGTGCCTTGTTATCCATATTGAAACTCAACATTTATTATTCTCACATTAGCGATTAGTTCTTGCATGCATTCCTCAGAGGAAAATGCGACTGTTGTTTCCTTCTCTTGACTGTGTCCCAACGTTTCACGTTAAAGATTTTTTGTTTTTTTGTGTATATTTATTGGGACAGGACGAGAGATAAAGGTGTTAATTGGTATAACTCTTAAAACTTCCAATCTAATATGAAGAGTCGATCGATCTAATTATTATCCTAATTAACAAGATAATGTTACTTGAGTCTCTCTAAAGATGATTATACAGTTTCATTACCAAATTAAACAAAAATTATTTGATATATAATTACCACATCAATTATATGAGGAAATTATCTTTAGAAATTTGAAAAAAAAAGATATTGTATAGAGGAAACTAAATATCGATCCTGCTAAAAATCTTTTTCCTACTTACTGTAATATAAAAGCAGCCACAAAAATATCTGAAAAATATCTTCTGACCTAAAACAAATCTCATCCCGCTTTTGCCCAAGTCTCCTACCTTCGACACTTTAGGAATCTATGAATATAAAAAAGGTTGTCTTAGTTGTATTAGCTTCACTTTTCAGCGGATGTTTTGGTTGGATTATTATTAGTTTGTAAGCATGTGGGATTGATCTGCATGGAGCGTGCCTGTTATCCAGATTACAAGCCAGAATGGGAACTCCGTCGTTTTGTTCTTCCTCTACAGTTCATTGGTTCGCCAGTTTATGCTAACTGACATATTTGTTGATCTTTGTTTTTATTTTATAAGTAAGTGCAGAAGGAAAGTACCCTTTACATTCATATCATATTCGATGGAAGAATTTTACTATGTACTGATAGTCAGTGTTTGTAGATCATTAGATCAACATTAATGTGGAAATTATCATCTAATATATGGTTAAGTAAATTAATTTCATGTATTAACATATGTACGCGATACATTTATTATACTTATTTGTACTGTTAATGTAAAGATTCATGAAGTAATTCTTATTAAGGGCACTAAATATTTTAATTGATTGAATCTATTTGAGTTGTAAAAAGGGTTTTTCGAGGATGTTAATTCTGATTCAAATTTATAAGTTTAACGTGTTATTTGATGTATATTTCCAATAAGATCCATTTTCGCTATTAAAAATCATCAAATTACAAACTAAACATATAGTATATCATTAATTAGTAAATATTTTAATAAATTAAGTATAAACATATTCATGTTTGCATATATTATTAATGTACATGCTAGAAACATTATATTGTCTTTACAATTTCTCTACAATTCGGTCCAACTGACTATATATAGGAAAACACACTCGTACATATTAATTAGACAATTTCCAATTCAATTAAAATAATGGAGCTGTGTGGTGTGCCATTCCATTAGAATTTAAACTCCTCTAATTAAATGAAGCATGCAATCAAGTACAGATCCAATCTCATAGAATTTTAAACCTTGTTTACTCTATTAATGAAAGTGTTCTCTTGGCTGTTTCCATTCTTTTCCAAATCTGCTTCTTAATTTGTACACTTGTTTATATTTTCTTACTTTTACATATATAATTAGTAATCAAACATATAATTGTGTATCTGCATGAGCAAATAACAGCTGCTCGCTAATTAATTAATTACAATATAAATCCATATCAAAGGAGAAATGGCAATCATCAGATCCTTTTAAAATATGCTTTTAATTTTATACTACATTGCTTTTTCTTTTCGTTTAATTTTTTTATGTTTCTGCGAACCCTTTTGTTTTGTTTTTAAATAATTTCTTGCTTTTACTAGCAATATTTAATTAGTTAAATAGACATATTTGATCCACAAATTGCTTTACAATTCTTTAAAAGAAGAATAGAAAAACATTATGCAATATATATTTGGTATTGAAGTAGTTGCAACTTTTTTGGGCTCCATGACACTGCCTAAAAGAAATGAACTTAAATAATTGCAAAAAACTTTGGTTCTTCCAACTCGCATTGAAATTGAAATCCATGCTACTTTTTTTTTTTTTTTTTTTTTTTCTTTTGGCTGAGAACATAGGCGTGCTCATTACTTTGTTATTACATAAAAGTTATGTAATGTGCAGCTTCACACAGACATCCATCATCTCTTTCTTTACCATTTTCAAATTAAACAATAACAATGGCTCGCCGTTTGTATGATATCCATCTCTAGAGGAAGATTGTTTTGCATTAACACATTGTTCTATATAAACATTTTCATAGAAATGTTCCCACTTTCTTGAAATCACCCAGATTAAACATAAATATTTCATTTTTACAAAATTAAACCATCTCCTCATACATTAATTTTATTTCAAACTATTTATAGAAACAAGTACAACAATCAAATTCTCTCTAATGCACTTTAATTAGATTCCAACTCCCAACTTCAAATAATCTAATAATTTAAAACTAATTAAACATCTAAAAGAGTCATTAACTCCCAAAGACAATTGTATTTTTTTTTTTTTTCCTTTTTTCAATTGATAAATAATCTTCAAATTCTAAGCAGAAAAATACTGAGTTCAGGTCCTCCGTTATTATCTGGATTCAACATGTAGAATGCCTCTGAGTCACGGCTACCAACAACTCGTTCAAATTTTGCCCTCATGTACAATAATTCTCCCTCAGACACACCGGTCTTCCGTGCGTCCTCCACCACCGGAATAACCCCTGCGCCTACCGACACGCTTTGCACGGTGCTCAAAACGTGCCAATCGGAATCCCCACACGCGCGGGACTGCGCATACCCACACTTCCTCCCATTACAATACATAGTCCACATGGGCTCATGAAACAGTTTCCCGGGCCGACCGCGTCCGGCCTGAACTGGAGCTTTCTCACACTCAAGCGCTATCCGAACCAAACCGGACGCCATTTCTTTAACCAGAGTTGATGTAGACATGGCCAGTTCTAACAACAAAACCGGTTCAGACCGGGGATCATCTTGAACGGCAAAACTAACATGGCCACGCCGGTTACCAAATAAAGTTCCGGTGACTTTCCGGCCTAAAGAAGGATTTATAGAGAGATGGGTCGGTATCGATAACCACTTGCACGTGGGAAGAATTATAGTGGGAAAAGTTATTGCATGGAGAAGTGAACGAATGAGAGAAGTGAACCTTGAATGAACTTTGTTTAGTCTTTGTAAAGCGATCGGTGAATCTCTTCTAACGAGAAGTTTACCTGAAAATTCTTCATTTTCAGGTATCGACGAGACCGACGTTGACCTGATGTAGTTTGAAGGAATGATTTTTTTTGAGCTTCTTTGCAGGTTGAGTTCCTGGTACTGTCTCATGTTTGTTGAAGAGGAAGAGGAGAAAGAACGATAACGACACCGTTTGTGTTGTGTTTTGTTTTGCTGTATTGGAAGGTATTGCAAGAAACACAAGAGGGAGAGAGAAAATGGTGGAGGTTGAAGAGAAGAAAGAGGCCGACAATGGTGATGATAGTGTTTGGAGGTGGCTAATATAAAGGGAAACTATGGAGGTTTGTGGTGATAATGATCTCCTTCTTAGCTTATATAGTGCATTGATGCTTTACATATTGTTCCCACAATTCATCATAGTGTTTCTTTGCTCACTGATAATCACACTACACTCATCCATCACCACCGTTCATCATGTGGTGATGCAACAGTGAACGTTGGTTTGATTGTTGAAAGAGAATTGATAATTAGTTTGGTGACCTGGGATTGATATGAGGTTAAGATATTTAAGTGATATAATAATGGAAGAATTTCAAACCCAACCCTCACTTTTTGCTAATCATCCCCCTTATGGCACTTTTCTAGGAAATATCAAAAACTACCCTAAACCCTAACATTATCCAATTCTGATAACTTGCAAGTCATAAAAATTTTATTTTACCCTCACTCTCATTAAATATAAAATATTATTAATATATATTTTGGTTAGAGTTTTGAATCTTGGAAATAGCAAAAACAATTTCAAAATATAACGAAAGTGAGGAAAAAATAATAATTTTATGTAAATTTCATCTTGCAAGTTATTAAGTTAAAGGAATTAGATGGCGTAAGGGTCAAGGGTGGTTCTTTGACAATTTCCCACAAAAGTATCATAAGTTTAGTTTAGTAAAAAGTGAGGGGTAGTTTCAAAATTCTCCCATATAATAATGTACGATGATGAATTCATGTTGACCGTTGGATTAGAGAAGTAGTTGGCTGGTTGGGACGTGATATAGACGTAAATAGTATAGTAAATTAATTAACCAGGTGTGATTGTATTTGTCCCAAGGTCGTGTTGAAGTGGTCTAATACACAGAGTCTAAAGCCAGCTGCCCAAAGTGGCCGTCAATGGACATTGGACAATTAATCTTCTAATAAATTTGAAGTCTTTTGGAAATTTTCCACTCTACCAAAAAATTATTTTGCTAGTCAAATTTCATCCATCTCCTGCATTATTGGCTTTGTCATCAAAATATATATGGCCTTTGAAAATAGTTATATAAACGAGCTCCGTCAATATTTTAGCTTGGCCTTTTGTGATCCATTATAACAATTGTTTTCTAATAATATGATATAATTCTCTCATTTAAGATCAAATTAATTACTAAATCCCAACTAGATAAACTGCGTGGAAACCTTTGGCAAAATATTAAAAGAAAATGCGATGATAATAATTGTTTTGGTTTGAAATACGGTGAGTAGTAGAAGTGAAGGAAAGTCAGTGAGAAACTTTTAGCGAGACCAAACTGGTTTCACATTGTCGTCTCTAACTTTTTTCTCCTAACTTCACTCAATTAGCTATGTTTTGTTTGGATGGAATTAATAAATATTTTGAATTTTTTTCAGAGAAAACATCTTTTGAGAACAAATCCACTTTTTAAACTAGCTTAATTATCATTTCATCATCTAATTAATCTCCTTTTAATTACAACTCTATTACAAAGGACATAACTTAACTCTCTTAGTCTTAGCCATGAGCAAGATGGGCTTGACTTTTGTGAGGTGCACCGGAGCCACGGAGGCGCGTGGGACGGCCACTCTTGAATGCATATATTAAATGTTAGATATGATAAAATAAAAGAAAGGTGACACGAGGGTGACGAACATGATGATGGGGGTCAATGTAAAATTATGATTGTGAGAGGCCACTTTGTCCCCATTCATTTGGAAACCCGAACATCAACCAACCTCTTAATCTATATTAATTTACTCATATTCATGATATCGCTTTATATATTATATACAATTAATTAACCATCATTGATACTGTTTATTATTCAATATTCTCATTACCTTTCTCTAAAATTTATATTAACATAAAGTTTTATACATTTTTAATTGTTCAATTATGAAAGTCTTGATTTTTTTTATAATCCCAATCAAATTAGTTTCTTGGGTTTATTTCATTTTTCTCGTTACAAAGATTATGAAAAAAAAAAAAAAACAAAACATCTTGATAAGGGTGTTTTTGTTATTTTTTGAATGAAATAGATAGGTTTAATACTAAGTGATCTCACAAACAATTTTTTTTTTTTTTATAACCGGGGTGTCTAGGCCAACTTACGCACATCTAAACTAATCTTTGAGGTCCATTGAACACTATACAAGCCTAAAGAATCAGGTAAACCACAATGTTATTGTGGTAGAAACATTTAGTTTTCTTATGTTAGAAAATTGTTATAATTTTCTAAAATAAACAATTTAATCTTTTAACCATCTTTTGACATGAAAAAACCTAATTTCAATTTCATGTAACTTACAAGAAACAAATCAATTGAATTTTTAGTGTATAAAATTTATACTAGCTTATATTCTTTTTTTTCTTTGATCAAATCTTTTATCTATATACATAGATTCTAATGTGGATGTCATTAAAATATAGATATTCTTATAATTAAGAGAAAGATTATCTTACATTAATAAAATGAAAATAATTTGGACGGTTCCAAACCAAGCATGCTAATGCCATGACCAATCAGATTGGTGGCCTAACATTTTAAAAGGCCAAAAATATATAATGATTTGTGCTACGTGGGTAATATGGAAACCACCAGAGAATTTTTTTATTCCAAGTATAACATCATGTCATCTTCAATTTGCATCATCCTCGCCATTATTTAAGAGTATATGCATAAACTATCACAAATCTTACTATGCTCAATGTTTTATAAATTAAGAAATCATGAAAAGGACTCTGGGGTTTTATCATTATGTGTGTAATTTAAATTTATGTGTTCTAGAAGAAATTTAGAATTGTTTAAGTATCGAGACTTTCCATTTCCGAAACAAAAATATAGATTAATTCATTTCTGAAAATTATACGAGTTCAATGTATCAAATCACGTGTTCATTTTAAAACTACTTGTGATTAGTCCAATAATATTAATTCAATTCGTTGGAATTGATCTTCTCTTTATAAATGGATTATCAAATTAAATAAATACTTATGGGTTATTAAAAAAAAAAGGAGCTCTATTAATGAATTTACCAGCTGAGTACCATTGGAAAAATTATAATTGAAGACCGGTAACTACATAGATGTATGGTTATATTACAGTGGCGAAACTACGAAATTGTATTGTTGTAATTAGGGGTCAAATTAAGTAAAAAAAAAAAAGTTTGATAAATTAAAAGGGTTAAAGAGAATAATTAAATTAATAAAATTTTAAAAAAATTTGTGGTACTTGAGGTGGTCATAGGCTCGTAGCCAAGGCCTAACCATATATCGGTCTCCCACCACTAGAGGCACTAAATGGTCTCATGGCAAAAATAATTTTATCTTTGATTTTATGATTCTCTTCTCATATTTTTTCTTGAGGCTAATCAAATTGAAGATTCTTTGGGTCTTGAATTCAACTCCAATGGTGGTCAGTGGGATTATCCTTCGGACTACATTGACTCACTTGTTAATTATGATAATTCCAAAAGCCATGCATTTTTATTTATTACATCATTTAATCAAAAGTTAATTTCAACATATCAAATATATAAATCTTGTTAGTAAATGGGTAAAAATGTCATCTGTTAATATGTTAGTCGATACCTTTCTGTTAAACATTTAGTTAGTTTTAACAAGATTAGTTAGAGGTTTGTTACACTTATATAAACACTATAAAAGTGTACAGTATAACAAAATGAATATCAAGAAAAAAGAAAAATACCAAGTTATCAGATTTCTTTCTTTCCCGTGTTTCTCTTTATCTCTCTTCCTTTTCTTTCTTACTTTACCCAAAGTCTCACTTGGTATCAGAGCCATTGACTAGCGTAAAAAATGGTTGATCTAACACATTCTTCTTTTAATTCAGCTAATTCAACTCATAAGGTACCCACTGGTTCAATCGATTGCGCAAGTTCCTCGTCAATGTCCCACTCAACTCTTCCAATAATTTCCCCTAAACTAACTAGGGATAATTACAGATTTTGGAAATCCCAAATTCTGTTCGTAGTTGGATCTCACGATTTAGAAGAGCACCTCACTGGATTAGTCTCATGCTCAACTCCATTTGTCAAGATTCAGGTTGAAAACTCGGAAGGAACCATGGAGAAAAGACCTAATCCAGAGTACAATCAGTGGAAGAAAACTGACAAATTACTTGTAAGCTGGCTTCTTAGCTCAATCTCTAAATCTATGTTTAATGTTGTTTCAAAATGTCAATTTTATGCCGACATGTGGATTACCTTGGAGAAAGAATTCCTTACTGAATCAAGAACCAAAACCTTGCATGTTAAGAATTTGTTGCAAAATACCAAAAAGGAAAATCTAAATATTCATGAGTATTTCGTTAAAATGAAAGGATTTGCAGAGATCTTGTCTGGTAGTGGAATTGTTGTTACCGATGAGGAGCTTTTGAACTATATACTTGATGGATTAAACTCTGAATATGATCCTGCTATAGTGAATATAACTACCAGATTAGAGTCTCACTTAGATCCATTAACAATTCAGGAAGCACAAATCATTCTGCAGAAGTATGAACTTAGGTTAGAGAAAGCAAATCTGGCCATGAATTATGATATCAACACTGAGTTTAGTGGGGGGTCAGTGCATCTTGCTAATATCACTACAAATGAACCAGACAAGAAGTATCAGAATGAATTACAATCTAAGTTCAATTTTGGACAAACCAGCTCTAAGCAATCTAGCTTTGGACATGAGGCCATTGTCGGATCCTTTGAGCTATCTATTATTCAATTATAATTTTGTAAGTCTACCTCATCTAAGCCTAAAATATCTCCACAAACATATGAAATAAAAAAAACAATTGTAGAATCTGAAGTCTCCATGCCATTGACGAAGCAATTGTGAATAAAGTTAAGTTAAATAAATACCTGACATGTATACATTCCTTCAATATATTAAACTTCACTTAGTTGGATCACTTCACTTTTCAGCGCATTCAAGCTTGGATTTGTCTCCCAATGTAAACCATAAAGCAAGCTTGTATTTTTTGTGCATGTGGTTTTGATCTGGTACACCGTGCCTTGTTATCCATATTGAAACTCAACATTTATT